GGAAGTCTTGAGATTGGCTCTCTAGAAACCTTTGGAGACAGTAATTGTTCTTTGAAAAAGCCAGATAGAACACATGTAAAAATTAAGTTGCAAAGATAAGTAAGCCTTCAAAGAAGTAAGAGAAGTAAGTTAATTGCCTAGAGGACAAGTAATGAAATGCTCTGTCTGGACAAAGCAGACAAAAGGAACCGAGAGGTGCTTGATACAGTTTCTCATGCCAAGCGTAACAGCAGTGAATGCACAAATATGACTGGAAAAGTGAAAAATGCCTTCTGGTGTATCAGCCACTCCTCCCAGTTTTGTACCATCAGCAAACGTGCTGAGGGTACACACTGCCCCGTCATCCAGATCACTAATGAACATGCTGAACAGTATTGGACCCAGTGTTCCCAGTGTTGACACCAGGGGTACGCTGCCAGTTACTGGACTCAGTGAGGCTAATGTCAAAAAAGCTACTCCATATTACATATGTAAAAAACCTGTTAGTCTAAGAACTCACTAATGGAATAATGAAGCTTTCCGTCAATTCCAAAAAATACCGTCGAAGAATCACACTCTGTGCTTCTGTAGGACGTTTCTGTTGCACACCCTTAAAAAAAGAAACAAAATATCACGATAAGTCTGTTACCCCAAAATCTGTAAGTAGTTGTGGGGTTCTTTTTAAGAATATTTATTCCATTGGTTCTGTGTTCATTTGCCATAACCTTACACATAGCACCCCTACCCTGAACTGCGGATGGAAAGCAATAGCATTAAGTTCTTTTACACAGATATTCATCCCTTCAATTGCTGATTTTTTATTTTCATATAAAGAAATTCAAGGAAACAAAAATTTCTATGAACAAAACTTGTTCAAATCAGTTAAAGTTTGGAAGCTCTAATTCTTACACACCTCATGCGTGAGATTTCTAGACCAAAGAGACTAGAGGAAGATGGCAGAGGGTGGAAAACCCAAAGCAAATTAACTCATCAAGCACTTCAGTTCTCTAAATTATTAAGTTAACTTCTTGAGTTCTACCGTTCATGGTATAGAAACCGCTAACAAGGCAGCAGCCCTTCTGCAGTGAGGGTGTATACCTGCCTATTCAGTTACAAACTGGGGCAAAGGAATCGGAACCCAGTTCCAGTTCAGTTCAGCAGACAGAGCTCAGCTTTAAACAAAGACACCGTACAACAGTACACTAAACAATTTCCATAAAGAAGAGACTTGCAGTATTACCTTTTGTAACTGTTTAACGATTTCTTCATCTTTGTTCAAGTACGGCTTGTAAGAGGTATAAACACCTAAAGAAAAAAAGCAGCACACAGCCGAAGGAAAAACGTGGCATGCTTGTTAAAATTAAAATACTGGTAATTTAACTCCGAAGCAACTTATTACCAGGTTTGGAGTCCAAAGTTTTTAGGTTCTTCAGTTTTTTCACTTTCACCTGCTTTGGAACTTCACCTGCCAAAACATTTAAAGCCACCTTACTTAAATCTCCATCCCTATTACTAGACACTACAGCTCACGTGCTGTATGTTGCACTGATTTTTAGAAATGGATACTTTCATTTAGAAGACTATCTAATATTTTAAGAAGCATTAAGAACACCAACAAGCATCCAAGTATGTATCCAGAAACATTCAGTATGCATACGAGTAACACCATACAGGCTTTTCACTTTATAGACGGGTTCCCTGTTGAAAAGAAAAAAACACAACAAAACAAAACCAAACAAAAAAACCCCAAAAGACGGCCTTCTGATTCAAAGCAGTCAAAGAAAAATACTGACTATATAGCAGCAGTGAATGACTGTTTCATTAATTTCAAATTTTATTGCATCTTCCTTTGCTCCCTTTAGTGTAAATGCGTTCAGGAACAAACCTGTAGTACCTTGGCCTAAATAAAAATTGTATATAAGTAATTAAAACAGTAGTCATGGATTAAGTGTTGTAATAAAATGAATTTAAGTCTCCTTTTCCATAGGCCAAACTAAGATTTTTTAGTTTTATTTGTCAAATATATCCTTCCCCAGCCAGACGACCCTAAACCCAACCGTCTTGCATCCTCAGCAGAACCCTCCTCTTAGATCTAGTTGGATGCTCGACTTCAGAAAAGATAATAGTATAAATTGCTATTGAAACTGTAGAGTGGGGGGAAAATTAAAAACAAACAAACAAACAAAAAACCCTCACAAGCCCTCTCTTTGTCCCTAAAGAAATAAAATTAAAATTTTTAAAGGCAGATCAGACAGATATAGCTCCAGAACTTCCTGACTAAGCATTTCATGTAGCTGCACCAAAACTTTAGAATTTCATACTTGAAACTGTGTATCAAATTTGAAGACAACGTGTGTATATGGCTTTGAAGAAATTTAATAATTTAATTAAGATTCTATTTTCCAAACCTTAACTACACAACAGCTAGCTAACTCCTCCCCACACAATGCCAAGCCTCCACAGGTATTCTGAAGCATGGACAGACATGATATTTTAAAGTAAAGCAAAACTTGTGCCTAATTATATTCAACACAGTACGTAATCCTTAATTAATGTGATGTATTCAGAAACTGAATATAACTTATTCTACAAAAATAAATTTCACCGTGTATTAGCCTAACTGGACATTCTCAGTTTCAGAACAGAATAGTGAACGTGTCACAGCAAACAGCTGCATTCAGGAATTTCGTATCATAATTAGAGTACTGCAGTATTTTATTACAGGCTAGCAATTGACATGTTATCCAAAGATACATTAAAATTCTACTCAATCATGTAAGGAAATCATCAACTTGAACAACTAATAATTACTGGAATACTACCAGATTAGAACTACGTTATCAAAACACTATCAACAAACAAATTTTTTTATTACTGTAACATTCAAACATGGCTTTCACAGCTTCTGCACACTTGCTGAGACTGGATTTATTACATTCTACTCATCCTAAAATTAACATCAGTAATAAATTATGTTTCTCATTTTAATACCTTATTGGTAGAGATAGAAAAAACAGATAGTGTGAAAGGTAAAACATTATTACTAATGAGCATTACCACCTTTTGCATTTAACGTACTAGATTTGGCAACACAAGACATGCAGTACTCAAGAGCCTAGTTTCACTTGACAGATTTGCATCCATGAGGATTTGGTTAGTATTAAACTCAACTAATTGAACTAAATTACATATGTTTGTAAATAAATAAGCACACAGTTAGATCTTGTTGCACAGAAGCGTAGAAGATATTTGTACTTTACCTGGAAGTTTAATATCGCCAATTCGGATAATATGAGGCCAGTGCTGAAGTGTTTTAGCAAAAAAAGGATTCGTTACCCCTAGAATGACAGACGGTCTAGAAAAATAATGACAATGTTTAAAACATGACAGTAAGAGCTTCTGTCTTAATGAATACAAAAGGTCAACTTTAATTCTTAATTTGAAATTATTTTCCTTTTTTTATTTACGAGTTACATTTTGAGTTGCATGTAAGAGCACAGTAAGTTTATCAAAGTTTTTAAGTTTTAGAAAATAGCAAGACAGATGTATCTTCAAGCCCAAACAGTAGTGGAGAATAAAACTGACATCATCTCCTTCGGCTCTTGGACAAATCCTGTCTGTTTGCAATGATGAGAATGGGGTATTACCTGATTTATTATCTGATTTTTTTTTTTTTTAAATGAGCAGGAATCTGACTAATATTTGACAAATTGCTAATTTTCAAGGTTTGATTTTAACAAACTCTTAGTACTTCAATGTGCACACCAACACGACGGCTGTTTGTATGAGACTTCTCTGCAGAGCTATTGCTCAGATGTCATGATTAAGAAAAAGAGACACTATCCTATTTCCTTTTCAACACTTTAGTGTTCTTTGTTAAAAAGCAGTTATCATGTGATGAAGTACAAGCATGTTCACAGCATTGTGCCCAAGCTCACAACCTGTCAGATCTTTCTGTCTACTGTGTGCTTAGAATCTGACTTTGAGGATGCATAGGGGCGCTCAGAGAACAAGAGGCAGTAAGAGCATCGGGCTGCGGACTGCTGCTACAGCACAGGCCTGCAGAATTTGGGATTGAAAGCACGAATCTGGAAAATATGTGGATATTTCATCATAATAGTGACTGTTATCCACTTTACAGGCAAACATTAGCTAAGGAGAGGGTGTAACTGCAAGCCTCATTGGAACTGCCACAGGAAAAATAGGTTATCATCATTTCTTCAGATCGGTTTTAAAATCACAAATTTTAACACTTTCTGTACACCATGCTTAAGAGATGGGGAGAAAAAACAAGTAATCTTTAATTTTTTATTCAGTTCTTCCAGCGATATCATGGTGGCAATTGGGCATCAATTTCTCTGTTAACTTACAAACATTTCTGACTTTCATTCCTCCCTCCCTCCACTTGCTAATTATAACTCTCACTCTCTCTCCTCATTAGGCATTCACAGATAGGACAAAAATCTCATCACACCACTCTGTAGCTTAGCATAACATCTGGGCTATGGAAACAGCAATTTTAATCTCTCCATTCCATCTTAGAATGCGCAGCACGAAAATATATCAGTTTCTCAGAAGCCTTTTCTTGCTTGTCACTGACTCAGCCTTCACCAGAAAAATCACTTCTTCCGAGTCCTACTGCTGTTCAAGTATATTCACCTGAAAACATTTTATTCCAGATATTATGGATTTTCCCCCTCTTGTTTTAATTCAGTTTCATTAGTTTCTGCTGTTTCTATAATCCTGTTAAACTAATTTGCGTTATTAATTTAAATTCATTGGGATTTGCAAATAATGTTCATGATTTTTCAGTGTTACCATACGCAATTTACAGTCTGTCTTCCAAAACAATTATAAAGACCAGTGTCCATAAAAAGGTCTCAACAGACTCCTTTGTTGCACTCAGAAAAAAAAAAAAATCAATTCATGATGTTTTATCTTCTGTTCTTTTCATGGTCATAAGAATCAACATAAGAAACAAACTGAGTCTCAAAAGAACCCAAACAATAGGGACTCTCCTCCTCCCTAGGAATGGATCAAGTCCAGCCTAACTTAACAGAACTCAAATCTTCTCGTGCCTATTTTGTGTGAACCAAAAAGCAAGTTTCACACACAACTGGTTGGGACGAATGCACACAAACTGACACCCTTTCACTAACTGGCAGGTTAAAGCCTGGGGGTTAAAGGCAAGTAAGGCTTTCATTTACACACAAATAGTAATTCTCCAGGTCAAGGTAAACTGGTAGCAAATCATGACAAATCTTGCTTCATTGCTACTGGTGATACAATAGCAAGACTTGGTCACTTTTAGGAGCTTTAACTTATCATATTTGCCAGAATCAATTCCGATTTTAAACCATCGAAGTAATTTCTGAAAAGGCACAATACACCAAAACATCGAGATAAAAATAATCCTTGCTCCCCCCTTGCTAAAGGTAATAAAATACACAGAATCTCCATCATGTGGATTCTTCCTCCTCTTAGACCACTGCTTTAAAAGCCTATTTCCAATACTTGCAATATTTTTTTCTTTTCCGTAAGAAAGCCAGAGCAATTCTAGCTCTATTTCAAATACTAACATACATACTGAACAAACTTTCCATTTTGCTACAGAGGAGGAGATAAAATTTTTAAACATGGGTTACTAAAGTTTAACCAAATTCTTCACGAAATTATTTTTAGAAATTAAATTACATACTGCATAACTATTCCCACGGAAAACAATCTGAAACATAATGCCTGTGTTTGTGTGCTGTATCTCTGGCAATACTTTTGTTGAGAGGAAAAATACAGTAAAAAAACAACAAAACAAACAAAAAACCCAACACAACCACCACTGCCTGTTCAGATATAAGAAAAAAATTGTTTATAAAAAGATCAGTGAATCTAACACATGCACTCCATTCCCAAATCAAGTTGCACTTAAATAACATGTAATACAAAATACTGGCCGTGTATGACGAAGAGGACTTTTTTTAAAAAAAAAACAAAAACAAACAAGAAAGTGTGTCCTTAAAGCATTTTCAAACAGAATTGTTTTTGTAGACTCACACTTTTAATTGCTGAATTTACAACATTTTTTAAGTTATTGTCTCAACTATGTATAGACTGCATTAACTTTACAAAACAGTTGCATGGATGTTGAATTCTAGAAGTCACTTTGTTTAGTAAATGCTTAAAAATAAAAACAATTACAGAACAATTTCCCAAGGAGCTACTATGGAGCTAGTATTGCACAGACAAAACCTTACTGAAAAGCAAAACTTTCTCCCACTTTCGTATTTGCAGTTTTACTCATTCTGTACACAAGTATCCTATGAAGCTCAAATGTAGTTTAATTATGACATTGTTTCATAACTTGATCCTATCTAACTGGAGTGAAAACTTACAATAGCTAGCTACTGCACTCTGAAAGATATATCTTATAAATAATGAGACTAAACGTGTTCTGCAACGACAGAAATTCAGAATAGTTAAGCAGTATCTTTTATGGTTATGAATGACTTTGAGCAACACGTTCACAACAAAGTTTGATTTACTTACGGGGCTTGTGTGCGAGTTGTATATTCTTTGAATTCACTGTCATGTATGGTAAAGTATGGCCTGAAATCACTGCAGTACTTCAACGGTGAAATACAACTGCAAAGTAGAAAGAGGATAAACTTGTTGCATGTAAACAGTGCAAAATTTCACGACAGAAACAAGCAAATCTGAAATTTGTAATGCTTTCTTATATTCAGATCAAATGAAGTTGCACTCAGCCGCAACCTACAATGACTCACACTGTCATTAGTTAGAAACCTCCACTGCATTTACCTAACAAGTGCCAACACGGTTTCTGAAGATTCTGATGGTGATGGTGCCATCACAACAAGTGGTTCTCCTAGCAGTACTAGTTCCCACAGCATCTGAATGTGGAAGAACACTGGACAGAAACACCTAAAAACAGATTGAGGTATTTTAATACAGTTAACATAACCAGAAGAAACACATATTTGATTAAAAACTAAATAAAAAGGAAGTTTGCAGTAGTATTTAATAGTCCTTTGAAAAATATAAAATACTCCTATAAAACAGAGCATTTAATAAACTTGCTTACTTATTGCAGTTTCAGCCTGCATGTTGTCTGAATTGGTTTTTAGCCAGCTTTACAGAAAAAGAATATTAAAACCAATACTGATAAAGTGTTAGCTTGCAAGCTACGAGATATGTGTTACAGAACCATCGTAAGTCTTTCACCTGTAGAAATTCACAACTAGGAATAAATCAGTCCAAACTCCTACCTGAAAAGATCTACTTCATGAACAGTCGGTAAAGCCATAGAGATCTGAGCATCTGCCTAAAAGACATCGCAATGCTTGTTTTTTAGTCATCAGAATACCTAGGTATTAAATGAAATAGTTTTCCTTAAACGCTTACAGACAGTAGACAGTACGTACCCTAATTTTTTACCACTACTGTACTACTGCAGCATGTACTACATCATCTCCACAAGTAACTATTTCTGTGTGCTAAAAGCAAGATCTCCTCCTACACACACACCTCACTTACAGGCATGTGACTTTGAGTCCAGAAAAAATACAAGATACTGAAGCCATTTTAAACAATAGCCAGGCAGCACATGAAGGTATAGACAGATTTGTTTTATATCCATCTTCTATGGCTAAGGATTTTTAGCTTGGTTTTCATCCTCAAAAAACCTAGTTTAGTATAGTTTCACCTGTTAAAGGATGTTCAAGTTCAGTAATTTTGACAAGCAGCTATCCTCTTCCAGCAGCTGGACAATCCTCTCCTAAAGTACTTGGGGCAGCTGGGTTAGAATACCTTTCCTATGAATAATCCAACTCTAGACTCCTCCACTCACAGTTTCAAGGACTGTGGCTTTCAATATTATCAAAGTATATGAAGATTTACTACCAATCTTTTATGAACAAGTTTGAAGCAAAAGAAAGAAGGCAGGTATTTAGCTTTGTCTTGGGGTTACATACAATAGAAGTATCTAGTCCCTACCTGGTGCATATTCTGTACTATTGGCGTTGTTCCAGGCTTGTCACGATATGTTGGAATCCGCAACTTTGAAAGAAAACGAAAAACTTTTTTTCCTTGTATTGAATTCAACAGACACTTAAAACAGTGACTTACAGAGAAGATGTAACATTTGAAGAGGATATACTACAGTATAATGCTTAACTTACTCTAGAGAACTTCCACACAACAATGAATACAAAACTGAAGACTACAGATCATTGCTACAGGAATCGATACGCAGTACTCTAGTACTACATGGCAAATTGAATATTAGAATATGAACATTATACTTCAGTTAAAAAAAGACTCCTGATAACATTAGTCACAACAATTACAATAATGTCAATATAAGTATGTTTAAATGTTAGAAATAACGCTCTGAAATAAAGTTATGGAGTTGTAAGGTGGTATAGAATTGCTTTTAGAAAAAAACTTCTCCTAAAACAGACATCCAGGTGGGTATCAGGCAGAACCCAAATATACTGAACAACATAAATATCTTTTTCTAATCTCACAGTCTGCATCTGTAAGTCTTGAATGCTACAAATTTAATGATATTGGATGCTAGTGTGCACAAATGGATGTAATTCATGCATTAGAATTAAGACTGACTGCCCAAATAGAGTAAAAAACCAGGGACAAGATCCCTGAAGATAATAATTATGGCTTCACTCAGTTCATGATTCGCTGTCACAGATAAGGTTACCAACGAGATAAATGCAGTCAATACCCTAAGAAGACGTATCTGACACTCATGATTATCATCCAGCAACCAGAACATTGCTTCATTAAATTTGCTTCAGAAACTTCTCCTTCCTCTCCCTGATATGCACGTGTCTAGCCATAAACTTAAGAGTATCTGCTAAGTACGTGCTTCCAACTGTAACCTCTGGATCCACCAAATCCACTTAATTGCATTTTATATGAAGATGCTATGGCTCCCAGAAGCCCAGTTTTTAGCCATCATTTAACATCTACAGTTCCTCCCCATGCACTCGATGTAACTTCTCTAATAGCCTTCTTCAGACGTATTTCACTTTCACTGAAAATTATCAACAGACCAAGAAATTGATTTCTGGTGCATGGGCCAAAAAATATTTTTACTTGTCAAACTCCAGGAACAAGAATGATTTTCATCAATACATTTAATTTGCGTGACTGGAACTTAACTCTCAGTATTTTGAAGTGTTACTTAATGTTTGATTTGACAAATACAATCAGCAGTGGAGTCTCCTAGAATGTATATTCCAGAAGGATAATATAGACACTGCAATTAGTAGCTGTACTGAAACATGTCTTTTTAATATCTACAAAAATTACATATTAACCTATGCATCATAACCTCATCAAGATCAAGGAACCTCATCAAGATCTCCTGGACCTGCATTCTGAGTGGAGTACACATTTATTCCTGTTCTGAAGTATGAGACACTGAAAACAAGGCAGAATACAGTGAGTACCTACACAGTAAATGGAAGGGAAAAAAAAACCCTCAGAGAAAAGTAAGTGCAGGAGTATTTACCTTCATTATAATACCCGTAACAGGCAAATGCAGTATTTTCCCTGGAATTGGTGGTGGCCAACGATCAACATCACTACAAACTTAAAGAAAACAAGAGTACAATTTAGAAGTAGTTTATATACGCTGTAACCCGTAATATTGTAGTCACCTTTGTGCACACTGCAATTTTAAATTAGCTCATAACAGTTCTACTTATCTCTTGATCACTCTACACTCTAAAGAAGTTTACACCCTTTTTGACATTCTTAATGTATTATTTTGTTACAAATACAAAGGTTTTCATTTCAAGAAAACAGTATCCTCGTCTGCCATCAGCAACTAGACTCATAGTTAGTTGAAGAAATGTTGTATGAGAAACCATCAAAGTACATGTGAAGAAACTTTGAAAAGAACACACACATTATGTACATCAGCTACTGCAGAAGAGAGAAACACAAGTAGTTGAGGGAAAAGCTAGCATTCCAGCTTGGCTTGCAAGTTTTTCAGCATTTTGTAAAAAGATAATTACTAATTCTAGTGATTTCTGCAGACCTTATTTTGTTCATAATACAATCCGTCAAAAAAAAAAACAACTGTTTATCTACAGGTCATCAAGAAAATACAAATCCTTCATCAAGAATGGTTTCTACAAATTGCTGCTCAGCAAAAGCACAAGACATGGATGTTGTACGGGGCAGACACGGTACAAACACATACAGCACTTTCTGGCAAAGAGCAAATAACTTTCCTGTTTGGACCTCTCTGACTCTTAAAGTTCCACAGTAAGGCTGAAGCATCTGTTACCATTGCTGCTCTGTTGCTTTTTCTCTTTGGTCCAAAAAACCCCAAACAAACAAACAAACACCACCAAAAAAAACCCAACCAAAAACCGCCACACAAAAAAACCCGCACTCAAGATGGTATTTTGTACCGTTGCTTAACAGAAGTTGTCAGAATGCTCAAAGGGACTCAATTTCTGAAGAATGCAATCTAAGAATTGCCATCAGCTACTTGTGCTGAACAGCTGAAGTCCTGAAACATACGACAAAATCCTAGATGTTTTTTTAGGAGGGAGCTTCAACTCTCACATGGAGGATTCAAAATTAGAATCATAGAGTAATTTAGGTTGGAAAAGACCTTTAAGATCGAGTCCAACCATAGATCAGCTCTGTTCAATGATCTAGAAATCAAGTCGGTTTGCTAAAGTGCCAACCCTCTGACCTGCAAGAAGAACATGACAGTGATGTTTGTTATTTCTCCAAAATAAGCATGTGATATTATAGGAGCTCTTCTAAAACAACATAATAGTACCGCTACCTGCTTCCAGGAAAGCTTCACTTTTTTCAAAATATTCTGGTGCTATTTGCTTAAGCATGGTGCGAAAGAGATGGACATAAGGTAGCTTGCTGATGAGGACCAGCGACTGGAATAAAGAGTAACAAAATAAAAATATAATTTTAAGTTAACCCTTTCCGTCAGTTCTATACTCAGAGAACATCAAGCGTCTTCTTTTTTTTCCTCACACATGCAAGACAACCACACATTTGACTACAGGCAACTGCAAACAAACAACTCCCAAAAGTTTCCAACTTTTTAATAAAAAAAAAAAAAGTTTTGCTCTGACTATGCAGCTGGAACATAGCATAACTCATGTAAAATCAGACCAATTTACTATACATCTACAATGAATTTAGTTAAAACAGGAAGATACTCTTCCTACTCCTCTGAGATCACTGAAAAATAATTAATTTCTGAATTAATATTTTCCTGAAAGAGTTTAAATTACCTTCTGGAAGTAGCCTCTTTTTAATGATTTGTCTCGAACTTGCCTGAAATACACATAACCGTAGTAATATGCTGGATCTTTCTGCAAAAGAAAGGAAAGAATTCACTATGACAATGTGATACTGCCCTTCTTTCTGAAGCATTCAACGTACATTTTAAAAGGTTTTTTCCCTGCAAGCTCCAAAGTTGATTACATACAATAAACTGGAAAGATTACTCTGTTTATTTGTTTTATTTTTTTTAATAAGTACTTCAAAGAGAAAACACGAGTGTGTGGAAACAACTGTGCTTTCTGGCTTTGCTATTTTTATATCTGCATTCTCCTGACACACCATGAAAGCAGAAATAGAATTAATTTCCCGAGGAATAAATCAACACTCATAATTTTACAAAGTAGGACTAAAAAGATTTTAGCAGTTAAAAACCTTAAAGCCCTGACTTGAAAAGATAAAAACTAGTCTGTCAATGTATTAGTTTTATAAAATATTCTTGAAGTATTAAGGAAGCATGCTCTTACATTTCAAAGATAAAACATCAGCTTCATCCTTCCTACAAAGAGAAATTCAACTATTTGCCACACAAACAGATCTAAATTGAGTTTGAGAATCAGACTCCCACTAGCATAGTTAATGGCTTCAATATTCCATAAAGACATTCTGAGAACAACTTTTTGGCCACTACCTCTCGCAGGTAACTGCTCCATCTTCAAAAAATGAAGGGTGGAAACAGAGAGAGACATCTCAACTTTTTTTTTTTTTTTCTTTTCCCCAACATTATGAAGCACTTCAGATTTCCAATAGGTAATAGTTTTTACAATTTTATCTACAGGTTTCTAGTCAGTAAGAAAGTAGGCCTGCTCATCAATTTAATTCCTTGCAGTCCAAAACCTGTAGTAAGAAAACTTAAAGAATAGTTAACAGAACTAATTATTAGTTAATTTTTATGATAATGACATGCTACAAAAAACATTTCCTGAGCTTTGTCTTTCCAGATATCTCATTCAGAGATTTCTTAAGCATTAAATTTAAGTATAAAGACCCATAAACTATCATTACCCAGAAGAAATTAACTTCCAACCTTTAAGTAAACTGGTAAATCTCTGTCCAATTGGTCCAGAAAACAACACAATGAGACTTTCCTTCCAGAAGATCGTCGAAATCTAAAACAAAACTGTGTGTCCCCAAGACAACCTATATGAGGGGAAGAGATAAACAAGTAGACAGTATTCTGAGTTTCAGCCTTGTTTAACGGGAGGACTTGTCTACAACCAAAGAGGTAAAATAGTTTTGGTTCATTTATCTTGCACTGCTACTGTGCTCTGCCACTGCAACCATTTATATATTTATAAATGAACAATTTGACATCTCCGGCAACAACAAATAGCCTACCTTCAACAAGAAAAAAGAAAAAAGTCACTCTGCCTCACAGTGAGTTTATTAGACTGTCATGTCCTTAAACAGCTCTGCTAATGGCTGTCTTCCTACTGTTATTACACATTTTATTGGTCGCCTGTATAGTTCTGATTATCTTAACCATGTGCCATTTCTATGTTGAATGACTGCACTTAACTATTTTTCACAACAAACAGTTCATTCATAAGTACCACCATAAAAGTTTATTATGCTGATCTCTTGCAACTCCATGTGCAGGCTCAGGACTCAGGATTTTCCCTTCATTTCTATCAAAATTAATTTCTGAGAGAAAAACGTAACTAAGTATACTGACTATTTGCAGTCTGAAAACAAATTTGGGCTAAGTTTGTGTCAGACATCAAAGGAACTTTCTCCAGGTGGAACATGAGAACTGAAGTATCAGAACTTGTATGACCGATACTGTCACGGCTGTGTTGTCACCATTACAAATGCAGTCTGCTGTCACAAGAGAAGCAGCTCCAAAAAACCTATAGTTCAAGAAGCAGCTATATAAGCTGAACAGAACGTGCTCTTCATGGAAACAGTGATAAGGGGGACTGCTAGAATCTTAAGAACATGTAGGTATGTTACTCATTCTAGCAAACCTGTAAAAAACACTCCCTTTGGAATGCAGTGTTATTAATATGAACACAATCAATTTAAAGACAACCTCCTGAGCACTGCCAACCTGTGGTAAGCAGACTGTCTTCACTGTAACAATATAAACGTTCATGTAAGCGACCATAAAAAACAATCCGCTGTTAAACTTACAGCTCCTGTTACAGTAGTAAGTTTCCAGCTGGCAAAGGACACTTGCTTCTCCATATTGAATCTAATCTCTTCACTAGTGCCTTGTAATTGCAAAAACCTCCAGGAAAAAAAAAAAATCATAAAGTCACTACTGATCTTCTGAACTCTTCAAAGCGGTCCTGTCTTGCATCAGCCGGTGCTAATTGACTGAACAGTAAGGCAGAGGTCCATTCTCCAGATAACTATTCTTCAGACTTAAAAGCTCAATTTCATCTTCTCTTTCAGCCACATACATGCTGCCACAGCAACCACAGAGAGCCCAAACTCTCAAAGTCTGGCTGTGGAACTGGTACTGTACATTGACACTGGCATGTTCAGAGCACTCGAGTCTGAGTCTTAGAACCCACTGAAGTTATGGCAACAAATCCACGACGCACCAAGACAAAACCAGAAGTAGCAAAGCACTGTGTGATGGGATAACCACCCAATTCAAACAGGTAACTAAGGCAAGCGCTTAGCAATATGGATCCAATTATAACAAGAAAACACACAGCACATGCCAATAACAAGGCACTAAGTATTTGCTCCGAGTTTTCATGGCTAGTTCCCTTCATCCAAAGGAAAAAAAAGTTATTACTAAAAAAAAAGTTATTATAAGGAGCTAGACACAGAATACCTAGAAGCAAATTACCTTTAATCATCAATATGTTGAAACAGGTTTCAGAATATGACGTTTTTTTATGTAACAAGCTATTTCGGTATGTACAATTTGAAACGAGTGGTAAATGCCTATTGTTTCTTCAAGTATCCATGTACAAAAGGCAAAAGCATTATTTTAAACATAACTGTACTAGGAAACTTAGCTTAAAACTACAAAAAGCGTCATGAAAAAAATAAATCATAACACATAGCATACACTCCCAGCTAATTTCTGGAATGCAAGTTTTACATAGGTAATCCTTCTACACAATTTGAAACTTCAGCCTACGAAGAACCATCCAGAACCTACAGGTTCTTAACAGGGACATTATAAAAAGCAAAAAGGCAGGTTTTCTTCCTGCTGCAA